CCACCAGCCAAGGCATAACCAACAGCGGCAAGAGCAACAGCACTGCTGGTATCACCAGCGCTTTGGAGCTGCTGCGGAACGCTGCACCAGGCCTCGCAGCTGGTCGGAAAACAAGACGCGGGATCGCTAGTGGCGACGAGCGCTCCCCCAAATAAGCAAGGTCGCCTGTTCTATATTAAGGACGCTACCAGTGGACTGAAGTTCCTGGTCGACACAGGAGCTGAAGTGAGTGTGCTACCCGCAAATTCTTTTGACTGTACACTTACTCCTATCTGCCACCTGCAAGCGGTCAATAGCTCCAACATCCCCGTCTACAGGAAGAGGTCAATCTCGATCAACCTTGGCTTGCGAAGGACGTTTCGTTGGATCTTTCTTGTAGCCAAGGTCAGTCACGCTATTCTAGGAGCGGATTTCTTGACCCACTTCTCTCTCCTAGTAGACATGGCCCAAAAGAAAATTCATGACTCAACCACAGGCCTTTTCGTCACCGGCCAAACCTCCACACTCAAGCCGTTTGCTTTCACACTTCGCCAACCAATACAGTCGCCCTACGGGGACTTGCTGAGCGAATTCCCATCGTTAACGGCAGCTCCCGACTGGAACAAACCGGTCAGGCATGATGTCGTCCACCGCATCATCACCAGCGGTCAACCTACACACGCGAGGTCTCGTCGGCTAGCTCCCGAAAAGCTTCGCGTCGCTCAGCAAGAGTTCCAGCACATGGTGGAGATCGGCATTGCTCGCCCATCCTCGAGTAGTTGGTCCTCTGCACTCCACCTAATGCCGAAGAAAACAGGCGACTGGCGGCCCTGCGGCGACTATCGCAGCTTGAACGTGACTACAGTCCCCGACCGTTACCCCATCCCCAACATTCAGGACTTCACCACCAACCTGAACGGATGTACCATATTCTCGAAACTCGACCTACAGAAAGCGTACCATCAGATCCCGGTCGCTCCCGAAGACGTAAAGAAAACCGCAATCGTCACACCGTTTGGACTTTTCGAGTTCACCCGGATGCCTTTCGGTTTGCGAAATGCCGCGCAAAGCTTCCAACGCTTCATCGACGCCATTCTCCGCGGACTACCTTTCGTTTTCGCCTACGTCGATGACGTTCTTGTCGCCAGCTCGTCGCCGGAGGAACATCTACGCCACCTGCGCCTAGTATTCGAGCGTTTCGCTGAACATGGCCTGATCATCAACGCAGAAAAATGTGCGTTCGGCGTCCCGTCCTTGGAATTCCTGGGCCACGTGGTAGGCTCCAATGGCATCCGACCTCTTCCCGACAAGGTGAAAGCGATCACCGATTTCCCACGTCCAGAATCGCTTCGCCAGCTCCGCCGTTTTCTGGGCCTGGTGAATTACTACAGGCGGTTCATCCCAGGCTGCGCGGCAATATTACTTCCCCTAGAAGCGCTCCTTCAAACTGCGAAGGGTACAACAGCCACTGTTGACTGGTCTGACGCTGCAGACAACGCTTTCACTACCATCAAGGAGCGCCTCGCTTCTGCTACCCTCTTAGTTCATCCAGAGCACGACGCCCCCACGAGCGTGATGGTTGATGCCTCGGGATACGCAGTAGGAGGGGTGCTGCAACAACGCATCAACAACGAGTGGCTCCCGCTTGGGTTCTTCTCCAAGAAACTTACACCAACCGAGCAACGATATAGTGCCTTCGGCCGTGAACTCCTCGCGGCTTACCTTACCATCAAGCACTTCAGATTCTTCTTGGAAGGACGATCGTTTGTGATCTTTACAGATCACAAGCCACTAACCAATGCCTTCAGATCATCTAAGGCCACATACTCTCCAAGAGAGACGCGACACTTGGCATTCCTAGCTGAATTTTCTACCGACATTCAGCATATCAAGGGCGTCCACAACATCCCCGCCGACACCCACAGCCGCGTCTCCGCAGTTCAGTACCGCGGGTGTGACCTTAGACAACTCCCTGCTCTACAGGAGAGTGACGAAGAGCTCTGCAACCTTCGCTCTTCCCCAACCTCCTCTCTCCATCTTGAGGGCGTTTACTTCTCCGACTTGGGCACAAACATCGTTTGCGACGTCGACCCGGCGACCGGACGGAAACGGCCTTATCTGCCCTTACCACTTCGGCGTCGGATCTTCAACAACCTTCATGCACTCTCACACCCAGGCATTGACGCTTCTCAAAATCTAATCGCGGAACGATTTGTCTGGCCTGGGATGAACACTGATGTCCGCGCGTGGGCACGAGCATGCATTGCTTGTCAGCAGAGTAAGGTGTCCCGGCACACCATCACGCCTCTGGCAAAGTTTGCACTCCCCGACACGCGCTTTGCCAGCATTCACGTGGACCTCATCGGACCCCTACCGTCATCGCAGGGCTACCGATACCTCCTAACCGTCATCGACAGGTTCACGCGCTGGCCGGAGGCTTGTCCCATCAAAGACATCACTGACGAGACTGTCGCCTCTGCGCTTCTGTCCACCTGGATCTCCCACTTTGGGGTTCCCGCCGAAATCGTGACCGATCGCGGACGCCAATTCGAATCGGCCCTTTTCCGAAGCTTGACAACTCTTCTTGGCATCGCTCACTTGAAGACCACAGCGTACCACCCGCAGGCAAATGGTTTGGTTGAGCGGTTCCATCGCCATCTCAAGGCCTCCCTCATGGCCCACTCCACACCAGATAAATGGGCCACGTCTCTACCCATCGTCCTCCTAGGGTTGCGCACAGCCATAAAGGAAGACCTCGGATGTGCCGCATCACATCTAGTTTATGGAACATCGCTGCGCCTCCCAGCTGAATTGGTCAGCCCTACCACTCCGATCCACGGCGGCCCTACGATGACTGCAGGATTGCCTTAAGGCACGACCACATTGGCGTTTCGGAGGCCTGCGGCGCGACGGTCGTCGCTGCCGGTTGCCGGCGGAAACCAGTTTTCGGCTTCAACGTCACGACGTGCGGCGCCGCACACCCAACTGCTCCATGCGCGGTTCAGAGCTCAGTGCCGCACGCCGCAGAAGGGAGTAGCCAATGGGAGGTGGCGTAGATAGTGACGTCGCGATGCCATGGCAACGCTCAAGCCGGTCCTCGGCGCGTCTCGAAGCGAAAGACGTGTTTCGTGTCGTCTGCTCCCCCTATTTCCCCCCGATGCCTTCCCCAACGGAGCGGTTCCTTGAAACTAACCGCTGGGAAATTATAGGAGAGGAATTCGGAATTACAAGTGAGTTTCTCCGTGGCACTTGTTACATGTCGTCTCTGTTGTGACGGATGTCGTGTTGATTTGGTGACACTTTCGAGAGTTGCCTTTATCTCTGGCGCGCCTCCGGGGCAGCAAAGCCCCGGCGGCGCGCCAGACCTGTCCTGTCCTTCGGTGTTTCGGTAGAACCAACTCGGCCGGACCCAAAACCTGCGCCTCCTTCCCTTCAGAGCGCGGCGACGTCGCAAGATCAGCGAGCAGGCTAGGATAATCACATTCACGCTGATCACGAGGTCATTATGAACTCCTACCGTCTAGACAGCGAGTGCGGAACGGAAGAACCTAACGAAGAGCAGACGACGAAAGAGCGGGAAATCCGACGGGAGGCGCGATCGAGGGATCCAGTGCTGTCACGTGACGCCTGCAAAACGGAGGCCAATGTGGACTCCTCGCGCTGGGACGCCGGGCGGCGGTGCCGCCCGGCGGCGCCGCCCGGCGGCGCCGTTCACGCTAGTGTGGTCGGGCCTTTACGTGGAAGACTTAGCCCGTCTGTTCGGTGACGTGCGCGCTACACCGACGCGGACAAGCCAGAGCAAGCCTCCTTTCTTCCATCGCGACCTGCACAACAGTGGCTACGTGTTTTTGCGCGTCGACAGCGTCCGCCGTTCGCTCCAGCAACCTTACACTGGTCCCCACCTCGTCGTGGCACGTGGCGAAAAAACATTCACGCTGCGAGTTAATGGCCGCGACACGGTCGTGTCCGTTGACCGCCTCAAGCCAGCATTTGTTGAGAGCGATACGATCGCTCAGCCGACTGATCTTCCCAGCGTGCAAGCCACCTCGAGCTCAACAGTAGCACCCGCGATCCGCATGAAACACTCCAGGACAGTTCACTGGGACGACTCCGTCTCCAAGGGGGGGCTATGTGGCGATAGCCACTGAGAAAAGAAGAAGATCGCGTGCAAATAAAAACGAGGAGATCAGTTCGATTTTGGAATGCGTCAGACGTAGTCGCTTTTCGTCTGTCTTTCCCTACAACTACACACGCGAGAGGTTATCGAATTACGGTTTCCTATTTTTAATTTGACGGGATATTCTTTTCTCTGTTTTGTTTTGTCCGAATCATAATAAATCATACACCCTATTCGCTTCGGTAAATCTTGTAGTGGGGTAAAGCGCTGGATATTCTATTTTCATTATCCAGCCTTTCGTACTGGGGTAGAGAACAGCACACCACCATCCCAACGTTTCGACAACTCAGCGCCAAAAGTGTTTGTTACCACGACTACGCGTGCCGGGGTTTCAAGCTTTGGTGACATTTCCTACTACAAATATCACTTCACCAAATAAATGCAACGCGCGAAACAGGCTTTGCCGCGCGTTACGCAAATAGCGCATGAAGCGAGCTGACGAGCTAAGGAATCTAAAATCTGAGAGGTCTGTCCCAGGCTGTCCTACCCGTGACGTCGCAACCAATGATGATGATAGCTAGAGAAGCGGGTCCTGTAGTTCGCGCACGAAGCTAATAGTTCCAGGGCAATGAAGAGGAAGCGCGGGGGTTGGCAGCTGGTCAGCGCCGCTGGTGGAAAAACAAAGACAACTTTGGGCAGCACCTGTTACCGAAGTATTGGGCAGATTCACCGCGTCATGGTTTGGCAGGTCACTGGAATGCACAGGCTCTAGCCTGACCAATGAATGTGATTGTGACGTGCTTCCAAGTCACCAGACGTCCACCCGAACTTCATAGCACTCTTCTTATTGAAATTAATTCCGCGACAGTCCGCCGCGACAAGAAGATCACAAATCACCTTGATACACATTTTGGTTTTTCGTTTATTGACAGAACATTCACAGGTTCACAAGTCTCGATTCCGTTGTAAATTCCAAATACAAAGAAATTATTTGCAGTGGTGAAGCATGACTTTGCTTAATTCCTAGTAGCTCTTTTGCATAGCGAGAACAACCAGGCTTTGAACAAGAAGTTTTTAAGTGTTAAGATTGCAGATACGAGCGTATTTTACTAGTACCTCAGTAAATGTTTGGACTACAGCACAGCAATATTCAGTCATTCCAGAAAGGTTATTTGCGAGCAAATAGGTAAAAAAAAAGGGGCTGGTCTTTCAGGCAATTGCAAAAGCTCACAGATTGAGTTGAATTCATCTTGCTATATATTCTATCTTGCCAGAACTGAGAGGCACTTTGGTGTCATGGCCGCACTGTGAAAAAGATCATGACGTCACTGCTGCAAACAATTTCTGCCGCGGTAATTTGGAATGTACAATTAAGCATCCAGATATACTAATCAGTACTGAAATAACAAAGTTCAAACAAAAAAGAAAGTACTTTGAAACTACATTTGTCCTGGCATCTCATAGATCAGTAGAAAGCTTTCTACCTGGAAAGCTTCGAATTGGAGTATGTAACTTGTGCATAAAACTACTCTCGAAAGCATGCATTCGTGATAGCTACCAGCAATAATTTAGCGGATCAGAAATGAATAAGGAGCTATGCAGCACATAATATCCGCCCTCACAATTATTACACACATGGCAGTATTGTTGCGAAGAGTTTAGAGAGTCTGTTGTACATTCTAGATTTTTTGCAGTGACTTGTGCTTAAGGTCCTGCATTCAATACAGGTGCCGAACTCTAGAACAGGGTTGAAGCATTCCAAGGCAGCTGACTGGGATTGCTTTTCAGAAACTATCACTTTTACATCCTGAATCGATAGCGAAATAAATACTTATTGAGAACAGAGACCTTCACATATAGATGCCATTCACAACAGTTGCAATATCAACACACTGATGCAATGCTCAGACTCACTCCTATTGTCAATGAATTGTAGTAGTTTCGGCTAGCATTCCTACAGGGAGTTTATTTTAATGTGAAAATGAAGTTGCAACATTCGTCTTTGTTTACAGCGCTGTGAAACAAACTATACAAAACACAACTTCAATAAAGAAAAGCATGCACAAAACACTGAAAGGGTGGGTGTAACTTGTCACCACAGTAAACCACGATAAATGAATGTAACAGGATGGGATGCTTGATACAAGAGGCATTAAGTATAATGTTTCATAATGCATAAAATATATTACAGCTAAAACATTCTCATTTCCTTACCACGAAATCGCCACAAGCATCGGGAAGTTTGAAGCAAAGCAAACATTTTTGAGTCCCATCAACCATAAATAGTCATGTTTAGGATACTCAGTTCAGAAACGACTTGCAAATGCTTTATTCTAAAAACTGGCAAGCTATCTATATATTTATTTGCTTGAGCTGTTGGTGGCACTTGACGACATACCATTACCCAAATGCGCTGCTGAAATTTGTGAGCTAACTGTTAGGGAGACACTCCAGGGCTAGACGTTCGTTAGCTGCACATGGATTATCTAAGAGAACACTGTCGTCTATTATGCCTGTTTTTACTCAGATTACACGTGAATCATTGTAATGTGACACCAATTTTAGGATTGAGAACATATTCAGCTAAAGCAATAGTTGTGAATGTCACTCAAGTAAAAAAGTACAAGAACTGTGCACGTTTAAGGCAAAATAAATGGCTAGATAAAAACAGGAGCTGCCCAAACTTCCGAAGTTGGGAAACATGTGTATATTTCAGACTGTCTCTCACTCATCTTTCATTTCACGCTCGTTCTCAATTACCACTACTCCAAGAAGTTTGGACAACTTTTACGCTATCTTGCTGCTACCCAACATTATTTTTACAGGGTCATTTCCAACATCCCCCAAAACACAGATTTACTTGAACCAGCAGAAGAGCCTGGATCTTTCATCTCAGCTCACTCAGGCATTTCCCCACGGTCCAACAACTTTTTCAAGTAATAAAAGCCGAGGAAGAAAGCCTATCGAAGAGATCCATGTGCCTTATGCATTGGTATCTTTAAGATCCATTTTTTCGGAACAAAAATCCTTTTTGTGTTTGAGGAACGAGTTTGTTGGTCGACCTCTTTACGTCAGATGTCTTCTTCCGATGGCATAAGAAATACGATACGGCTCATGGCGATCGACGAGTTCAACAGAAAAAAAGAGACAGCAGTGCTACGGTAATGCAGCCAACCATGTGGACGGACAGCGCCCTGTTCTGGGTGGATGAGGACCCCGCGTTGGGATCGTCCTTAATTTCCTCTTGAAGGGCATCTGAACACAAGTAAGAACACGAAGAAAAGCAGGCATGAGTCAACGCCCCAACAAACATAGATAGTTTGCCCTGACTGGTACATTCCACATGCATGATAGCTGGCCTAACTCTTACGAGATGCCGCATGGAAGGGCATCTTGCACTAGGTGAAATGTACCCATGTGTCTATGGCTTTTGAGGTAGTTATTGTTTAATAAAAACGACATGCAAAAAGCTTTTGCGGGGCTTAGTTTTTATGAACAGGCACCGTGCACTATAAACAAACAAAATCATTTTCTCTTTGTGCTATCATTATGTATGTCAACCGACGTCACGAGAGCTTAAACTTGATAATGTTACTGTGCTTCATTTGTCCTAATATACAATTTCAGTCTTACAATTTTCTTTCTTCATAGGAATGAATAGCTGGTTTAATTTTTTCTAATATAAAGCTGATCAATGGAATTTACCTATTCTTAGACCAAAGTGTATGACAAATTTATTTGAGAAGTAGTTAATTATATGACCTCATCATGTGGAAATATAACACATTGCGACTTATATTTCTTATGGCTTTGTTGATTTGAACAGCACTACTAATATATTTTCCTTTGTGAGCATGTATATAAAGTATTGCACTATGGACCAAAACCAAATGCTTATTTGAAAGCTGTTCCAAAATGATTTTGACTAAAAAAATCTTCAATAATACGAGAACAGGTGCGAAAATAAGGTCTCTACCCTCTACTCTTTTTCTACCCTTTATTGCAGCCGAGAAGAAAACCTTACGCGTACCAAAGCAAATGGCAGTTTTCTGTAACGTAGCCAGAGCAGATAGCAGCGCGTCGAGAGTTAAAAACTGTCTTTTACTGCGTAGGTAAGTCAAAATAACTGATATTTCCGACATACCGGATGGAGATCGATTTTCTCACCATACAACACGTGGGAAGTTGCATGTAAACGCACATGAAGCATTGCGTCGAAATGTTAATTCCGATATAACAGAACTAGACCAGGTGTCCAAGGGTTTTATGATGGTCAAGCGGTCATTTCATGCAAGCCCCAAAGCGGCTGGCCAGAGACCGCCGTGGCGGTAAACAACGAACAACTGATAAGGAGAACCATCATATTATCATTCGTTAATTTTGCAACGCTATAGGAGTCAAAAGATTAGCAGTGATCAACATCGTTACGAACCTAGGATACTGCAATTTATGCTCGTAAATATATCCCGAGGACGTTGACTGCCGTCTTTTGTTGAAAAGTTGGTGTTCTGCAGACAAACGTTTCCTTCGGACCAAGAGCAACGATAAGCTCTGAGTGGTGCATGGAAGAATTAAAAATGTTGACAAAAATAGTCTGAGAGTTCAGCCCAACATAAAATAATTGCGGACTGTCTGAACGACAATTTTAGACTTTAGACAAGCCAGTGCACACGACAACTCTTGAGATATTTGGATGGACTCTTGTAAGTTGCTCTCCGAGTTCAGATCTGTCGCCTTCTGATTGCCACCTGCTTCCAAGCGACGACGATCCTAAAATATGTTTGCGACGATACGCGAAGTTGATTCAGAATTTTTACGTCTTCGAAATTTAGTGTTTCACCGTTGGTTGAAGTTCAAAGATAAAAATAAACTTGGTTGAGAAATACTAATTGTGAATGGTGAATGAAATAATCATTCATATAAATGTATTTTATAAATCTAGTAGATGTTTCGAAAAAATAATGTAATGACTTTACTTTCGCACCAACCTCATATAATGTACATAAGTGAGAAATGGCAAATAAGACCCTGAAAAAGTTACCGTTAAAGAATGCACCCTTCTTTGTCCATAAAGGTATCTGAATTTAAAGCTAATCTAAACAAAACTTAAATATTCTTTGGGAATCATATTCATTACTTTGACTTCATTATAATATGTAGGATGTTGCTTGTTTTTGCAGGTAAGTTATACGGCCAAAGGAACATATTAGATAGCACTACTTGTAAAAAAAATTCGGATAATTCACTAATATTACCATATCTACTCGAGTAATAGCCGCACTGTTTAGGAAGAAAACCCGAGGGATCGCTTTTCCGCTGAGCGCGCGGATTGCCAATCGCCTCGAGCGACAGCGTGATTCCAGCAATTTACGGGACAGAGACAGCGTCTTTACGCGAAGATACCATCTAAAAATATTGCAATTTTGTGGAGAATCGTGTTCTCGACCTAGCTATTCGCTGCTATTTATGAACAACGCGATGATTGGCTGTGTATGCGTTCTGCGGGGAAGTAGACGCAATGGTATTGTTCACAAATAGTGAGGCTATTACTCGAGTAAATACCGTAGTTAATTAGCTTTCGAATTATTGAGCGTAAACGTATGGTTTCAATTAGAAACTTGCTGAGGGTCATCGAAAACCAGTAGATCAGTCAATTTTAGAAGGGCTTGAAGCGCGCGGTAAGCACGGGGGTGCGCTAAGGTTACAACAGACGCTCGGCTGGCGGGCAAAAAACGCGGCTGACAAGAATATCATCCGCGTTTACCCACCGCCAGCGTTGTGCCTGTTTCTCTAGTAACTTGCGCGCACCCCCCCCCCCCCCCTCCCCTGTTTCCCACGTGCTTCAAGTCCTGCAAAAAGTGACTGATTTAGTGGTTTTCAATGACCCTCAGCAATTTTCTCATTGAAGCCATATGTTTATTTTCCGTAATTATAAAGTTAATTAACACGTTTTAGTTCATTATCCGGCTTATCATGATGATTAGCTTCCTATGTTATGCTCCACTGGTGGTATAACTCACGTGCACAAGCCGCGCTAGTGTAGCTTTCACGGCTTGTTTTTAAATAAATCAGCAAAACCTAGAAAAGCACGTTGTATATTTCCAGAAGCATTCCATTTCCTTGGTCCTTCAATCTTATTTTGAATACACAAATGTGACAGATTTATAAAAGAGATATGCAAAATACTGCCACCTTTACTTGAACTCTTTAATAAAATGAGGGTTTAGAAAGTGCTGTCGGATGCTGTATAATAAACGTATGGACAGAGTTCAGAATTTTCGTCTGAGTTCTCCTTTTCAAAAGGTTTTTGTTGTTAGTATATTACATACTAAAAACATTCCTCATTGTGATGTATCTGCCATTCACACAACTTAGGAATCACAAATACTTGCTCACAAAACAATATGCGGTATAGTTTTTCTAAATTAAGGTAAATACAAATCAATACTGACCACGTATACGTTTCATTCTACAACTCTGAAGAAATGCAAGAGATGATCTGTATTTTTATGGGCACTGTCAGACATTACTCTTCTTAATGGAACAGTTGTTTGCACGGCCCCAAATTGGGGCACTATGCTTGGCTATGTCTTAAGTCACTGCATATCTTAATTCGTTCTTGGTTAGGGAAACATATAATTTACCATTAAGTATTGTTCTGCGTTATTTTGTATTTAAAAATACATCTGTGGTTTGTTTGAATGTAATCTTAACATATACGTTGTTAGTTGTAGCCTGAACATATACATACATTTATTAGTAAGCATACTGACTACTGAAAACATGTGTAACAGCAACACCTCTACAATCAGTAGCTGCTAACAAATGGGCATCGGTCCCAAAAGTAAAAAAAAAAATTTGGCTAATTATTAAATAGAAGAAACAACCACGCGAATTGCAGAATAAGACAATACAATGAATAAATTTAAAAGAAATATGAACAGAAAGACGAATACAGGGCAGTATAAAATGTTAGCAAGAAAACGAAAACTGTCATCATAACAGTTTTAGAAGGTTAACAATATTGAGAGGGATTCGATTGAGAAGCTTCAGAGAACTAGGAATGAAATTAATAGGTCCGCTAGAGCTTGAGCTATGAAAGGTGTCTGGAATGGATAAAAAAAACATGTAGGAATATGTAAGATTTTCGTGGTGTAGATGGATTTTAATTTTTATGGAGATATTTTATGAGCATTCTTGCAGAATTGAACTTGTAACTCAGGCTTAGCCCTGCAACTTGCTACGCTTAATTTAAAAACAGCGAAACATTATTTTTACTGCTACTAGAAGTCCACGCACTTGGATGCAGATGTTGAGCCATGACTCGACAGTATTGAGGTATCAAGGGTTACACAGACTCTCCACTGTTGTTTGTACAAAAACCATATGGATGTTTAGTCAGGTAAGAAGTCAGTATGAAAGATTCTTCCCGGATCATGGAGCAAAGTATTTATTGATTAATAATCGTTTTACTAAATATGTTAACTAAAGCCTTGAGAATTACCATTACATGAATGTTTTGATATCTTCGAATTTGTGAAAGAGGCTTCAATACCATGCAGAGAAGCATGAAATAAAAAATTCGCATCAGCCAAAATCAGCATGCGTGCAAGACAAAATGATATGCATGCTATCATAGAAACCCAAAAAAAGTTTTCGGGGTAATTACGCTACCAGGATCATTAGCTTGAAGACCAGTTTCAACCTCTGTTGTGGCTTTGGTGTGCATTGTCGTTTTAGGGGGCGCTGCATTGGGCGAAAACAACGTAAACCAAGCTGTACAAGCATGCCACAGCAACTGAACTAAAAAGTAACAAAAACTGAACACTGAACTTCTTTGCTACTAGTCTAATATAAAGCACAAGCAAGGTTATAATGTTTAACACTTGAGTTAGAAGACTTGGTGCCCATCACCAGTAACTGCATTGTGACATAGACATAGCAAACCAAAACCAGATGCAGCATAAAACATGTGCTGTCTTGGGCACACTACTACATGTACAGCCACAAAATTTCCAAATGCAACTAAACAAGCAGAAAACTGCCCCATGTGCAATGTGAAAACTATTTTAAATTTCCTTTGGAAAAGTGTGTCGAATGAGCCAATGCAGTTATAGGTTATAGTTATGGCCATATCAGTGTTGGTACATTTTGATATTTAGATTGATTTTATAAATGTGAGTAAAGTGTAACAGATATCACACTTTTTGTTTCTAGCCGGAAGAATAAAAACTACCATTCTTCTATACAGCAATGGCGGAAGATACAGAAAAATAAAACCTCCCCCAACCTAGGACACAAAACCATGTTGGGGATTATGTCGTAACTGAATAAGCATTTTTTAAAAGAAGCAATGCAAGGTGAAGAATCCACCACCAGAAAGAATTGCAAGGAAATAAAAAGTCACTCTAACATAGGGTGACCACCTTACGTAAACGATTTACGTCTCTCCCTCCACAAGAAGGCGATTCATTAAAATTACTCCGATCTAGAGAAAGGTATCTCAAACGGCAAAACCCAGAAAAGGTTTGGACCAAATGTGTCTTATGAGACGTCTTCTGAAACGTAATATTCAGAGACCTTGCGCACGTCGCACTTTCGGACCCAAAAAGTTTTCTTATGTCGTCCTTTACACTAGGTTTTTTTTTTTCTAAACTTAAATGCTCATCTTCATCTGCGATAGAAAAAACAAGTATTTGCTGACCTTATTTCTATTTCTAACAGGGCGACCTATGTTCATGTAAAGAAAGTAATTCCCTTGCACCTCCCATTCCTTAACTCCAGAAACCACTTATCTTAAAAAGAAAAAAGAAACATTTGGGATATTACAGTCTTAGTTGCTGCAAATCAGAAGTAATTTAATAAAACGGTTGGTAAGAAGAACAAACACGACGTACCAGATGCAGTGGTGAACTTGAAGTCCGTGAGCCGGCTCATGCCCTTTTCGTTGCTTACGGCCGCGTAGGCTTCATACTTGGTTCCGGGCTCTAAATTAGTTATCAGATAGTTTGTGGCATGCTTAGAGCCAGTCTTCTGTTGATGATGCCTGGGCAGGGTAATGTTCCTCCACTCGTCCACTTCGTCTGCGTGCTGCGCCAGAACGAACAATGCGTATTAGACGTCGGCCGTAATTAACACGTTCTCGGTTACACGAGCCACCCAAGCGCGATGGACTACATGCTCTAGATGAAAATTTAGTTTTTAATAATATTCTATGTCAAACTAGAGCGCCTGGTGTGCGTGCAAACGTCAAAAAGAAACATAGCGCGCCGGCAATCACGAAAACGAAACGCATGCGTGAAAAGTGACCTCCCGTGAAATGCCCGGAAAGACACGACATGCACTTTGCAGCTTTACTGTTCCACCAGCTGTTCTCAGTTGAACAGTCCCAAAATCATCCCCGTTTTCTGCTCTGTAAAAGCTAAAATATTGTATCTTTAGAAGACGGCTTTTCATTCAATGTGATACTACCGACACACCAAATGCGGTGTTTTGCTTCCCGGCAAGCCTAAACCATTATTGTTTTGTAATAATTGTGCAAGAGAATAGAAAGTGGATGTTTGTATTTAACGTGGTAATACAACAGGCGCGCCCTTTTAGACATGTAGCTAGGCGTACCAACTGTGCTAACAGGGGAATGCCATGAGGACTCCTGTCGATGTTGAGTAGCTTAGAGAGCGCTGGATGGGGGGAGAAAGCGTGCAAAGGGCCATCAAAGAAAGCAAGAAAGGAATAAAAAACCTTGAAGAGATTACTTTTTTTTTTTAATGGGATTGTGATTACACATTCCGATACAAAAACATGCCAAAACATATGTCGGTGAAGAAAAAAGTTTTTTTGAAGTCAACTTTGGAAGGAAATTGGTAAGAACAGCCAAAATAAGCAACATATCTTGACCCGCTAAATTTCTGTGCTTTTGCGTTATGGAAGAGGTGTCGATCATCTTAACACTGACGAAATACACGTTCTTGAGAAATTAGCCAGCGCCTGCGATTACGACTGCGAGTGTTTCTCTTGGATTCCCGGCCTGCGCCTGGCGTACGGAATATGTCGATCGTTCCGCTAGTTGCACTATTCCACCATGGTCTTGGATGATCGGGTTTGAAACATCGCGTGCAATATATTTTCAGTCACCGAGAGTTACTCCGACGCATTATTAATTTCGTTTCTCGCGACCACCGCCAGGGTATTATTTCCGGGTGCTGGTTGGCCACATTCGAAATTGTGAAGACATTCTGGAACACGCCCAGCCCGCTTTCGGCCAATGGCGCCTTCTGATTTGCCTCCTATACTTCCCAATGAATGGTCAAACTCTCTACATATAGGGCTCTGGCTCTCAACTGTAGCAGGACTGCGGATAAACGCCTGAATCACGAGAGTTTCTTCAAGCGCCCGCTCTAATAAACCTTATTAGAGTTCCTTTGTAGGCTCCCTACGGGAGCCAGAGTTGCGTGCCTGTTTTCCACGTGCTGCCACGCCGCTATTCGATGAAATCTCATCACGTGAGGATCCAGATCAAATGCCGTGCAGGAAAGCAGACGTTGCGCGCGCCCCTGCAAACGTTCCTTTACTTTTGAGCGCGCCGCGCGCCTCGAACGCGCGGCGCCGCTAATCGCTGAATTCAGTCACGTGAGGAGCAGGCTCAACATGCCGTGCAGGAAAGACGGTGCTACGGGGATGAACGCGCAACTCTGGCTCCAAGAAGCCAGGAACTCTTGACTTTATGCATTTTCGGCGCCGCCTATTGGCACGTTGACAAAAATTCCCGGCTGCAAGCCTCATGACGTACTCATGGAGCATGTCGTTTATTGTCACATTGTGTCCTTCCTTGAAACTAAATCTTTTTTTCAGTATTCATCAATGCGGCTTTAGGAAAAATCACTCGTGTAAGACTCAACTACTTGCCTCTACTAACGGCTTATTCTCTGTTATGGATTGTTTAATCACAGTTGATTGCATTTTCATCGACTTTTCTAAAACATTCGACCCTGTCTCTCATAGTCTGCTCCTCTTTAAACTAAGTAAGCTTAACCTTGACCCTAATATTTTAAAAATGATAGAATGCTTTTTGTCTAATCGCACGCAATTTGTAACGGCCAACGATCATAGCTCCCCTCACTGTCCCGTAACGTCCGGTGTCCCGCAGGGGTCAATGCTTGGGCCCTTGCTTTTTCTTGTTTATATTAGCGACCTAACTGCATTTCTTCATCTATCAAACTTTTTACTGACGATTGTGTTATTTATCGCCATATTCTGGATCCTTATGATCGCCCATCAGTCTGACTTAGATATTATTTCATCTTGGTGTGGTACCTGACTAACAAAACTTAACGCTACCAAATACAAGTCGGCGAGAATTTCATGTCATTCTAATCGTGTTACCGTGTGACTACCTACTTAAGGATGCTTCTTTAATGCAGGTTTCCCCCTACAAGTGTCTGGGCATTACAATTTCTGATAACCTTTCATGGGAAAATCACGTGGACCAAATCACAAGTAACGCCAATCGTTCAATCGGTTATCTACGGCGAAACTTTTCCTTAGTCCCAACTAACCTAAAACTCCTGCTTTATAAATCTTTACTCCGATCAAAGCTCAAATACGCATCACCAATCTGGGACCCTAATATTAACTCTCTTGTTTTATAAATAGCAGCCATCCAGAACCATTCCGCGCGTTTAATCTTTTCGAATTACCTCTGTACTGCCAGTGTGTCCTCAATGAAATCTAACCTTGGCTTACCCGATCTTTCATTGTGACGTAAAATGTCTCGTCGTTGTCTCTTTCATAAGACATATAATTTTAACTCTCCCCTCAGTGATTCTTTTTTTTGCCACCATCATATATTTCCTCCCGCAGCGACCACCAGTACCAGATTAGCGTGCCAAGCAGCCGCACTAATTTACATATTCACTCCATTCCCAAGGCTTGCGCCCACTGGAAACACCTCCCCGCCTCCATCGCCTTGATCACCGACACTGTCCGCTTGAAATCTGCAGTTTGCAACCATTTGTGGTAACCCTGCTATTGTGTTTATGTTAGCGTTTATTATTTTTTTTGTGTGTGTTTGCTTCACCCACTCCTTTCTGTAATGCCTCGGCCTTGAGTGTAAATAAATGAAATAAAATGAAAAATGACGGCCTCTTCGTCTGCATTTCGACGCAATTCTGGACGAGAAGTTCCGAAAACGTGATGACCGTAATAAAAAAGAAAGAAATTTCGCACGCTGACATTTGACAAGATCTGTTATCGATCACAGTATAGAATCATAAGGCGTTTGTTGAATCTTACTTCGAAATTAGCGAAACGTGTTTTTAAACAAGAAAGGAGCTAAAAAGACGCGTTCCACAAGTTCCTGAGCTCATTATACAAAGTCGCAGCTTCACGATTTCACCGTACAAGGTACTATAGTTCAGTAGAGGTGCTGGGGTCAGAACTCACATAAGCCTGGCGCCATGGGGAAATATATCGTATCACCAAAAAAGCCCTAAGGATGGAATTGTTTTAAGAGATTTGTGCAGATCAGCGAATTTGAGAATTAGTATGCGAGTGCAGAATCAGAGGCGCTCAGTTTGACGAGAAACACTTTGAGTAAGTTGGTGTGTCACTGCAATCTAGATGCATCACATTCCAAATAGCCTCCTATTGCGTCTCAAAACAAGGGTAGCGCGGCGCCTTCTTCGAGGCAGATTGAATCACGGATATGTCGCCACAAATGTGAGTAGGGTATATTCGAGATGCAGCTGCGACGAGCTAGTGATTCTCCTCGTCCCTCGTAGCTCGAGAACGCCTTTCATGTGGTACATCCCCATGTCGATCTTTATCCCTGTAAGCGTGAATCATGCGATTCGCAGTCGCGAACGAAATTCTCTATGCTATTTCCCTTGGGCAATACTCTTTAATGCCCAGATGTCTGACGCACTTTTATCGGCACTTTGGAATCCTACAGCCAAGCTGTTTATGGCTAGGGTTCCGTGGATTTTTTGTGCGTGTCAACAAAAGTTCAGGTCCCGAATTTGATGCAAAATTGCTCCATTCTGTGCAAAACCTTATAGGCCTCATCACTTGGATATGCATTTTCAGTAGATTAGTTAACAATAGGCACGATTTTCAAGATCAGTACACTCTCAGGTAGATAATAAAGGTTTCTCAAAGATTTGCCGCTGTACGACCCGCGTCGGACATGCCTACGCTCGCACCGCCCTCTGTCGTTATTCCAAGCGCTTGCGTGCCTAGTTTTCTTTCCTTCCGCTCTCCCGGGGTGACGGTCCCGTCGCGGGTGTCTATGTTCCTCCGGCTCCCCGAGGCGGCGATAGTTCGTACCTTTGTTAAAAATTCTGTGTCGTGCGCAAAACAGCTTCGCTGGTCATGCACCTTTACGGAGTGGAATGGCTCATGATTTTTCGAATATGTCTCTGGCGAATACAAAGATATGTGTGTTTGAGCAACTCAACTATGGACTCTGATCAATGTTTGATCATAAGATGGGGCTCTGCAGAAATTGTTTTGAGAAAGTTCGCGATAAAAATCTGCAGTATATTGCATAGTATGTTTTACGTTTTGATTAAATGGAGGGATAGCGCCTTCACTTTCGCACTAGCAGACGACACGGAAGTGCAGTGTGGCAGAGCGAGCACCGGAAGGGAGTTGGCTTAGCGTCAGCGTGCATCACAGTTTACAGAAAAATGTGATTGGGGCTTTGATAGTATCGCGCACGTTATGCAGAGCAACGTTTCAGCTTATATGTCCGGGACAGGGCATGCAATGTTAATTAAATATAGTAATTCCTTATTCCCTCTGCGAAATTTACATTATGGTGCCTGCATCTTGTTTCTTGAAACTTAACTTGCGTATTTACCCTTCACACCTTTTAGAGAAAAGCGCGTAAATGTGACAAGCATGTGAATCCTATTTCGATAATGTTTACTGTAAATGCACATTATTTCAGTGATTCATTACACGCATGCATTAAGGCCGGTTCTCACACGCAGCGAAGCGCTGATGTAGAGCTTTTCGCGGGTCGTCAGCTACTTATCGTCGGCCATGAGCAACAGTTTTGGCGGAGCAATACAACGCTGGTGAACGCTCCCGACAGCAAGCGCTTAGCGCGAGGTCAGCGCTATGCTTGTAGCGCTCCGCTGCATGTGTGGACAGGCCTTACTGGTAGGGGACACAACAGATAAAAAATGAACTAAAGAATGCCAGCATGAGCAAACATACACAGTAGCACGAAGCACTAACCATGCCATATGCACGGTATGCGCACAAAATATAGAGGTAGGCTCAACTACAGGCATACAGATACGAGCACATACAGGGCCATCAATGATATTTTACATGTTACTACGTTTCAGGAATACGATTCACAGTGGTGTACTGGGACAGATCATACAAAGTTCATTCAAAGAAAGTTTTCACCGATTTCATTGTGTTTTTAGAACGAAATTCAATCTACTGCAGGTAAAAATACAGGTGTAATAATTCAAAAGAACAAGAATAAAGAGGGATAAAAGTTTAGCTCATGCAAAAGTAAATGAATTTGCAGAACAAATTTCACCCCGACGAGTGAGTGAACTGCGTCACTATTACGTACAATCACAGCATCTTTTTGAAGGCCGTTCCGCTGAATGACCGCCTTTTGGGACCAAAGGATTAGAAAAAGATGTGTAAGCAACAAGAGCTCTGTTTCATCATGTGCGTGCAAGTGGAATGGCGTTGCCAATAAGCACAAATAGTATGACGTAACAATGTAAGTGTGACTGAGTATATGTTACGTACAGGAACCATATTCTTTGGAGGGCCATTCCGTCGAGAGGCAGGCTTTAAAATAAAAACGTAAAACATGAAGAAAAGTAGAAACATTCCAGATTTGAAGTAGATTGGCGTAAAAAGATGCTAGGGTTATTAAAACCGTAAATCTAATGACCGTTGGAGGTGTGATTATGGTTTAAACATACTCTTAAAGGAACCACAAAATTATTAACTTCACTTTGTCAAACTAGTAGTAATAATAAACATCTGTCTTTTATAAAGCACGGAAGAGTTATTAATTTTTGTTCATGCGCACTGTTTTTGGAAAAACAAGAAAATTAAAACAAAAACACTTAGGAGTTCCACATGTTTTCTTGTTCACAGCTACTGATTTTTCGCTGAACAGGCAGCCCTGCCTCTCCTCGAAGCTTAGTAAAAAAAGAAAAAAAATTGATATTTTAGCAACAGGTAATCAATGGGGCCGTAAGCATCAGGAGTGGCAACAGAGAGCAAACAAAAATATCATTTAAGCCAACAGCCGCTCCTGCATACGTCGTAAGATGTTCGGAGTGATATCCTATGGAGACGATTAAACGCTGGAGAATAAAACAGTCATCCAGTTTCCCACTGACAACTGCTTTTTCTTGGTCCATTTAAATTCTTTATTCAGGCCTATACCCCAATCGAAAGGAAATAAAATTGTTATATGATTTGTGCAATAAACATATCAAAACTTACATAAATTATATAAGTAGCATATAAGTTTTTATATGATCATACGCATCTTCATATGTTCATTGGACCCACTGACTATGTTTCTCACTAGGAATCATTTTTAGATCAACGAAGCCTAGGTTAAAATTACCTAAATATGCTCAATGATAGAGGCGTGCATTTGATTGTGAATTTTTTGCATAACATATCAAGAAAACATGTACAATCATTTCAGTCGTTTTGACAACGCGAATGTTTTAACTAAATAACTGCATTAGCTTATTTTATCCCCTCCGTTTTTTCATATATTCTACAGGCTGCGAATAATATACTGAGTCCAATTCGAATTCAAGATTTTTAGTTTATACTTTGTCTAGATTAGACATTCTACTTGAGCTGTGATGATTCCATTTTTATATATGTTTCTGATTAAGATGTTCAACACTTTTTACGTATATACCCTATATACCCACTATTCTGATTGCTTCTAAAATCACGAATGTCAAGCTTCCTTTCCGGTGGTCATTAAACCTACAAACTGTGCACCGGCGATTTTGCAGTGCATAGTCGATACTTCCACCGTGAAAATACAGTTTTGCTAGGACTAAATATCATTTCTATAATATGAATATTATGTTAGGGATGCAGAGAATTACAGTATATGGCTGAGGGGAGCAAAAATGATTGTGATAAAAATACACTGCACTATATGTTAAATTAAATCTGTTACGCTTCTGACATGGTGCTTCTTCTTTCGTAAAAAGCGTGATAGAAATGGAAAACGGCTCAAACTTACTTTTTCTGCTCTGATGAAGAGCACATACTTCGTCACGGGGAATGGAGTCACTGTAGACAGGGAAATCTCGTAGGTTGTGGTGTTTGGAGCCTCAATGGGAACTACATATGGCTTGGTTGGGACATCTATAGAAAGAAAAGGTGAAGCATCACATTAAAGCTGTACCATATCTGCAAAACACTCTTAATTCCTGACATTGATAAGGTCATTGGACCGGAAAAGTGTTTTTCATTCTACCACTGGACGAGACGCGTAGAGTGCCACACGGGGGTCGGCATTGTGGTTTATTTTGTTTAGGACGCAGCGGCAATCAAAAATGCCTTTAAACACCAATAATACAAAAAAATAATAAACTAACAAAGGCATCGCCAGTGGTGGGAAACTGCACGAGTTAAGAAGCGCCAAGACACCGATCATTGGTGGTTTTCTACGGCACAGTGGCCCTAAGTATTAAAACCATACCAGCGGAGGCGAAATGGTGGAACGAGAACAAACTAGCTTTCTCAAAGCAGTCTTTTAAAATATTTCATCATAAGCAGATCATTATACTTGAATATACATCAGCGTAGGTGAAATATATCTCAGTACAATTACAGCTCTTATTAGTCACATGGCCGCACACGTGGCCGAGCAACAACACTCGGTCACGGACTTCTAGAAGATTCGTGTTTATTCTTACTCGGGACGTAACTTTAATCATTTCGTCCTACTTTTTTGTTCTCGAAAGTGCCTGTTCATTCTCACCCCCAACCAAGCTCGACGCTCGAACTATCAGCGCCGAATTTTCGAGGTGACGGCTCACACTAGATAAAGAGCTGCCTGTGGCTTTGTCAAGTCAGTCTCGTTCTGGCTTGCTATTACGCCGCTAAATCGCCACCCGCTTTTCTGCTGTCTCAACGCTCGTGTTTTATTTTGGTTGGCACAAGTTCGCTCATTAAACTTTCAGTTTGAAACATGATTTTCGACACTTCTGCTCCTGTCATTTGTGACAATATTATTAGTAAGTAGATAAGGAATATTATGGCATTACTGCTCGAGAAACCTTAAGATGAAGGCCTAATAATAAAAGGAGAATGGGAAACGAATATGTAGCACACTTCAGTTATGGACACTGGTGGGTACCCCAGACTAGCCTGAATGGCTATGGGTCCAGCCACTAAACATGTATTGCTGTGATATATAAAACAATAAACAAGACCAAATGAATGAATGAAGAAAAAAACATATTCCTCAATACCACAATACTGTCGTCAACCGGGTTAAGGGCTAAAGCAGGAGTGAACAACACCGAGAAGAAAATTTACAGCTGCATACATCTATTTAAAAAAAAAACTAGTCTAGCCAATATGAGAAACCACAACTTGCATCGAAGTACACAACACAGTTCTTTGGAACTACAACTCTCTTTAGACGCACAACGTATTCCTCCAGTCACCCATCTGTGACTAGAAAATGACATGTATTGCTCTTGTAAAAATACATATGCAACCACCTGACTGAAACTAATGTTAACGGCATTATGACTAGACGGGGCTCTATTGGCTGTAAATATGTACTTCGCCATAAATCACGACTGCCCCCGACTCACTGGAGAGCTCGACCGTATCCATGGTGACGCCGAACTTGTTCTTCGACTCGCAGGTGTAGTTGCCGAAGTCCCGTTCGCTGACCTCCTTGAACTTAGCCGTGTAATGGTTGCCGGCGGTGAAGAGGTGCACGGACTCGCCGTGGAGTAGCCAGGTCCCGTCGTCGCGCACCCAGCGCGTGCTGCTCGGAGTGGCGCTGTGGGCCACGCACAGCAGCTCTGCGCTCAGGCTTCCGGCAAAACCGGCCGTCCACTGCAGAGTCGTCGTCACCGTTGGCTTCCCTAAGAATGGGGTGGAAAGGAAAACGATTACGAACGGAATGTTAGGCGTGGAACGCGTGAGTAAAATTTGCGTCGCGTCGCGCCGCCGAGCGGCGTAACTATAGCAACCATCGCTGACGCTGTGACGTAGCGGAGCGGCATTCGGCCATGCTAAAGCGTCAGCGGCGGTTGCTATGGTTACGCAACTCGGCGGAGCGACGTGATTTGACGCGACTTGTGCTCGCATGTGTTTCGCGCTTACGCGTCAGGTAACAGCATTTTTTCCCCAAATAATACGAACGTCTATAGCTAATATAAAGAGAGAATGGTACGTGTTTACGTCCCCGGTTGTATGAAAAATGGGCTCCTTCCTTCGCTTGTGGCTGTAATTGTTTTCATTTTATTGTCTAAGCATATTGCGAAGTTAACTGAACGTTCTTTTCCTGTGCCATTGTTGTTTGGTTCAAGTGTAACAAACGGAGTATTTTTGGTAAACGAGGTGCTGTGGCAGCACCAGTGAAAAGGGGATCCTTATGAACTAATTAAAGCGGGAATTTATCTTCCTATGTGCTTCGCACACAGCATTTATCTTAATTTATAGTTGATTTTCCCACTGGCAATTCTTTGTATTCTTCATATTCGCCTTTAAACGTTTCAGGGCAATGCTAAAGTATATGTAGTAAGTTCGCAAAATATCGAAACCGCAAAAATAACTTCTCTCCGATATATGCTGCGCAGGGATGGGCAGTATTTCAAATACAAGTATTTGAAATACGTATTTCAAACACTTTGTGTATTTTGCATTTGTATTTAATTACAAATTGGGTAATGTATTTCACGTGTGTATCTAAATACTGAAACGTGGGTATTTCAAATACGATTGTAATTAAATACAATTTTGTGGGCGCAAATACATCCCTCAAATTTATTGTCACTGTCCAGAGCAGGAAGAAAACTGCGTTCTGCACCGAATGCAGTGTCTCTCAATCAAGCACAAGCGTTTAGTGACTTTGTGATTACGGTGCTAGCTAGCCCAGGGCAAGAATAGTGACGAAATCGACGTTCACAGGCAGAGTGGCTAAATAAGTGCCTGTGACAACTTCTGATGCTTTCCAGCCTGATTTCCATCCATATTTTTGCCTGGAACATTCCAAATGCGCGGTCGTCCAGATTTTCGCAACTGGTGCGAGTTGCAACAATAAAACATTCTCTAGCTAGTGCTGCGCGTCTTGGTCGTCTCGGTTCTTCTTTGGTCTATACCAAAATGCAATCGACAAAAAAAAGCTGCTTGAGGCTCTCTACTTTTTTCACCTACTACGTCCAAGCTGATTACATTTTTTGTGATTATATTTCTATTACGTTACTAGAGCCTCGCACACTAACTCCCGAGTGTGCGATGCAAAATTAAAATGAGATACCCAGAAACCCGTTGCAGGTGCCCTGAAGTCGCTGACGCAAATTTTGAGGAGTGTATTTGGAAAAGTATTTGGAGCAGACCAAATACATTTGGTTGTATTTGTATCTATCCCTCAATGCTTTTGCTTTTTTGGAAATGTAATTAGATTTGTAATCAAATACATTTTTGACGAAGTATTTTGTATTTGTATTTCGATACATATTTGCATGTATTTCGCCCATCCCTGATGCTGCGTAATAGTGCATGAGATACTTTTGTAATATTCGTACAGTGTAAATTATAAAAAGCCAGAATAAAAATTACAAGTGGCCCCATTGAGAAATTTGGAAGTAAAGTCATGCACATTTTTATTTTTTCGACTCGTTAGTTTTATACAAACGCCTTTCTTCCTAACTTTTTCGGGAATGATATTGGCTAATATCAAACTGGCCTTTCAGCCCGTCGTTACCACAGCTTCGGCTGTAGTAACAACATAATTAGCTGCATTATTAAAAAACCTATGGATCAGAAGTGCAGGCTACACATAGAGACTCCTGGCTCGCCCAGGTGGAGTTCACGTTTCCCGAGAATGTGGAATGTACTATGTTCAATTATGAATTCTTTTTAAATAACTCTTTGCATGCACTGCAAAAAAAAAAAAGTTTTAGTGCTACAATGTAAAGGTCCGTTCACACACTTGCCACTCCTTGAAAACGCGTGCCTTAAAACCTCTTAAAAGTTCTTAGGACGAGAGAACACACTTGAACGCCGGCTCCATCTATGCGGTGACCCTGGAGCTGCATTTCCCAACAGCGAAGGTTTCGCGGGATTTTCGAGGTCGAATGTGCGTAGTACCCATGAGAAAGGCTAATTCCTAACGTTGACAAAAGGTTTTCGAGCCAGGAAAGAAAGAATGATGCTCGAAAGAATTAGAAATTATGCGGGATCGCCAAGTTTCCACTGCTCTCCAATAGATGGCACCAGCGTGTCCTCTCGTCGTAAGAGATTTTAACAGGTTCCAAGGCACTCGGCCTTAAGAAGTCGCAAGTGTCTGAACAGGCCTTAATGTTTCATAATGTAGAATTAGGACAATTTAAAGCAATTCGATTTGTATCACTGACACTCACCGAGAATGCTGACGGTAATGAAGCCAACGACAGGATCGCCGTAGCCATTTGCGGCCGTACATTCGTACGTCCCAGAATGCTTGAGTTCGGCAGAGTCGATCTGAATGACGTTGTTCTTTACCAGAGCGGCGACGTTAATGGACGAGTCGTTCTGCACAAACGCCGCAAAAAGTCCATGTTCAGAAAAGTTATCGCAAAAAGCCCACGAAGCAGACTATAGCGCTAAATAAATTTTGGGGATGATATTAGTCACAGAAACAACCACAGGAAATGTCAGTGACAGAGCTATCACATTATCTAATCCTTCGAATAGTAAAACGTTTGAATGCCAGAACAAATCCACACAACACCGCACTCGGCAGGCACGTTCATGCACACGATGTATGGCATCTTGTGACGAGCGAACGAAGTCATATAAAAGTTTTTTTAGGGCCAATTCGCCCACTCAATGGTACACCGACTTACACTGTTAGCACGAGCAGGACATCGGAGCATTTTTCCGTTTTACTTCAAAATATATTGATAGGAATAAAATTGTATCGCTTAGGTTGCTGCCCCGAATGAACAGATGCGTCAACACTGGTAGTTTTGATGACATTTTTATTACTAAAACTACACTGGAAGATAGCTTTGACTCTGAGTTAGCATATTAAAATTAAAATCTAACAGTAAAATAAAGTACTAGTCCAAGGAAACGATCGAGACCTTTTCACGCTGAAAGTTAACCTTAACTTTTTTCAGGACACCAGTGTGAAACCAGTCAATATATTCTGTTGTTGAAACACCCATCACCTTAAAATCAACACAACAAGCTGGTGTGTAAGCGTACATACTTTCCAATATACATATAACTGTTTATGTAAAAGCTCATAAAGAAAACGCGGTGAATTAAGTTATAAATTAGAATGATGTCATTGAAATGCAAGACACACACGCTCTCGAACGTATAATTTCATATTAAAGAAAAAATATTTCGTGATTCGAAATATTTCATGAAGCGAAATTTGGAAACAGTTAAAGCAACAAACTATTTTTAAATTAGTGACTCACGAGAAGTAAAGAAAGCATCATTGAAGGTGACATGATGAACAGAACCGCGCGCACAAAGACAAGGACAGAGAAAAGGAACATGCACGACACACAAGGGCTGACTTGCAACTGAATTTATACACAAAAGGAAGAAGTAGAAGACGCACTGAAAGACACGCAGGGCCCGCAGGGCTTGTCACACGCGACACAACACCATCTAACTACAATGTCTTTGCCCCATAGTCCGATCTAAAAACAAGGTTTCGGTTTGTAGTAGTGACACTGATGGGTGGCTGACGCAGCAGTCCCCCAGTCTGTTGATGCAATGTGCTTCCCAGATTTCGCGAGTCGTCTTGTCTCAATAGTGTCCAATTATTGTTTTTCCTTTAAAGGGGTCATGAAAAGGTTTTCCTACTTCTTCCTCCTCAGCTTTAATCCTCAACTCAAATGCGAATTGTGAAATCACGTGGTCGTGACATTCCTACGGCACCGGTGCGATGACTCCTATAGTCTGTTTCCCCTTATGATGTACCGCAGAAAAGGCTACAAGCGCGAGCTTCTTGCTCTAGGGCACATCTCGGCGGCACAAGCTCTCGTGGATTAAGGGCAGCTGCCAACGCTATGAGCTCGCGCTTCTAGCTTTCTCTGCGGTACAACATAAGGTGAAACGGAGTATAGGTTCCACCGTGCTTTTTATGCACACCATAGAACTTGTCATTCCCCAGTGACAATAAGTTCCGCCAGGGCACTCATTGGCCACGAACGCGAATCCAAATATTCGTCGACGGATTGATTGTTGACGAGCGCATACGTCCGAGTGACGCAGTTCTCGTGTCCAATGCGTGAGCTGGGCTCTGCTAACGTCAGTTTGGCGCCGGTGACGCGCTTTTGGAACCGCGGATGTATCATAGTGAAAAGGCGGAGAGCTTTCGAAGGCAAGAAGGTACACAATAGTCCGCTATATTTTCAAATGTTCGTACCGAACAGCTGGCTTTTGACTTTCTAGCCTCTTTCTTTTGGCCAACTAAACGATATGCGATTAGTATAGTCCCAATTTAATATCATTCATCCCAACCCAAAATTCGTTTCATGGCCCCTTTAAGAATTGGAGCACACGAGCAGGAATTGCAATGAACGGGAAGGTGACCGCCCGCCATAGATTTTAGTGAACGATCATGCTCGAGAAGGCGATCGTTTAGGCACCATCCAGTTTGGCCCACATAGCGTCTACCACACGTTAGAGGTATTTTGTATACCACGCCAATTGAACACGACACATAAGGGTGGCTGTGGCGTTTCTGGCATTTGTCTTTGTTGAGGTTATCCGCTATTGAGCGAACCTTTGAACAGATTTGTGCCATTCTTTTTGGGAGCTGTAAACACTACAGGCACATCGTACCTTTAGGCTGCTCTTTTTAAATTATGCGAGGTTTTGTGCATGTATAGTACAACAATCTTTCGTTTCTGTGGATCTCTAGGTTTCTTTCGCTGAATCCCTTTAGTCTTACGTACTAAGGCCGCCACCACCTCGTTTAAGACCTGTGATGGAAAGCCCGACTTTTGGAGTCTCTCAACTTGAGCATTAAAACTTTCACGAACAGTATGAAAGCAGGACTTCGTAAGTGCAGCCCCAAGTATGGTAACCGCAATCCCCTTTTAACAACTTTCGAATGCGCTGATGTGTAACGAAGGGTGCCCTTTTTTGACCTAGGAGAAAAACTCCAGCAGATATGGTTTGTTTGAAGAGATAACGAAAGGTCCAGGAACTTGTAACTTTCCGTCCGAAGGTTTTTCAACAGTGAATTTAAGACCAAAGCCACACCTGGAAAATACCCTCATAACCTTATCAACGTAATCACCTTCAACAGACTTGGGATACACTTCTTCTTCCTTCTGTGTATAAATTCAGTTGCGAGTCCGCGCTGGTGTGTCGTGCATGTTCCTTTGCTCTGTCCTTGTCTTTGTGTGCGCTGTTCTGTTCATCATGTCATCATACCAACTCGCCCAACTTACAACACTTCTTCATTGAAGTTGAGCCAAGCCCCAGCAAAATTGGTTCAGCACGTTATCCACTCACTTTACTCCTGGCGATGATGAGTGAATTTGCAAGGTGCATACTCCGTTCATCGCAAAGCTGACAGGGCGGCGGAAGTTAGGTGCTCTTTGGACCAGTTCTATGTAGACCTTTTGCCAGATGACAACACTCTCAATCATATCCACACGCAGAAACCAGCGTCACGTGATTAGAGGAAGGCGGCTGATTGGTTCCACGGGCGCGTATGCCCAGTCAGCTTAGGGGCGAACGGAGTATGACTTGCAAGCATTCGTAAGAGGCTCAACGACCACAGGACAACACCCAAGAAGCCACATCTTTATGCAATCTCTGTCATGTACACCAACATTCACAGCCCAAAGACAAGCTCACCAAACTGTAACTATTCCAGAAGCACATGCCAGAGGAAGGCAAAGCAGAACGAGGGATTGTGGAAAGTAACACGCAATCGGGGAACAGCAGTGGCCAAATGAAGCCTTGGACAGATTTTCACGTTTTTTTTTAATTGTGTAGCATGGCGTAATCTAAGCTGCGCTTGTAATTGGAATTCACGGGAAGATCTGTAGATATCTTACACAAAAGGGACATTGCAACGTCGTACTATAGGACCAGGCCATGGAAAATTGACAACTAGACTCGATTTAAATTTCAAGTCTTGGGGTACTCAAACGTTGTTTTTAAAGTCAGGAAGTTATCTGAGCTTATTTAAAACATAATTGCGCAAATTTACACTGAATCACTGGTGACTTCAAAATATCTTCATGTAAAAATCACAAGTCCCACATTGTGTCGTAACTGTGGCCTGGCTGCATATTCTGGCATGGCACGTGCATTAGATGATTGCCAGTGAATAATAGCAGAGCTAGGTTATCACAGAAGCAGAGAAAATAAATATTCAAACGTTAAAAATTCAATATAATAGACTTCATCGCAAGCAATTGCTAACGTTTCGAAAGTCTGAAAGGCGATGTGTGCCGGACACACTTAAATTACTTCAGATAACTTATGTAGTATGAAGATCAGTACCTTTAATAATTATTCTTGGCATGACAAACCTTCAACTGAATACTTGATCACCGCTTCAGTGAGTAACCCTATATTATAATGCTTTATTTATAACATCAAATTCAGCATTATGCTGAATAAAATGAACGTGTATCATTCTCACCACTCTGTACAGGTCATCAACACACTGCCTCAAGCTCATGTTATTAAGGCACTGCTGTCAATGACGGCATTATATTAACAAAGAATGAAATGATAATTATACAGAGATAGGAACACTTAGTCAAACAGTGTTCAACTAAAAATCGCGAAAGCAGGTAATTTCGTGATTTCACAAACAACTGAAACTCGCACGTTACACGTTAGCAATGCACATTAGTAATTATTCGGTTCCTACAAATCTCCTCAAGCAACAATCCCGTGGGCCGGAACAAACATCACAACCTGCCGCGTTCTTTTTTTTTCTTTCTAGTACGCATCATTTTTTGCACGTTCTGTTTCTATTGTTAAATTCACCTGTAATATGTCATATACTGTAAACGACTAAATTTTCACGAGGACCTAATTTCCGCGGATTTCGCAAATCGCCTACAAACGCGAAAAATACGCCCCCCGAACGATTCGGGCAACATGTGAACACTACGGAAGCTACGCTCGATTCGCGAAAATTAGAACCCGCGAATAATTTCAAATTTTCAGCTTTGGCCCAACTCGCGAAAATTAAGTCGTTTAAAGTGTTCATGAATATGTTCTTAAGCAAATTTTTCTGCGTCCTTTCAATCCTCGGTCTCACATTGCTTTGATTGTTTGCGAAAATGTCAGCATCAAACGTTTTCTTATCTAAATTTACCTGATAAAAATATGTAAAATAACCGTGAACCTATTTTTAAGAGCCTTCTCAGCGCTCTTTTAGGTTCTGCGCTTACACTGCTCTCATCGTCTTATAATGTAGCTAAACTCTTAGAATAGTAAATAATTTAGTTATTGTTTTTACATTGTGACAGTAACCAGTAGATATTTGACAGACATCTTATTTTTAGGAAATGTCTGCCAAATCTTCCGTCTTGATTAAACGTAGACCGGTGCCTACAGACAGTGCCGGATTAAGACATTTGGGGGCCCTGGGCTTAGGCTGTTATGAGGCCTCTACCTATGATAATGGTGGGGGTGATGATGGTGGTGGTGGAGGTAACGATGACGACGGGAATATGTATATCTTTTAACTTGTTAAATCTAGATATGTTTCATCGTATGATTATTGTCGAGCCTTGCTTAGATTCGTAGATTCAATGGAATTCAAGTTTTCCTTGCTGTCATTGAGCGGATGCGATTGTTTAGAAGCTACTTCGCAAATAATCAACCCCTCTAGCAATTTACAATATAGTAATTTTGAGATACAAAACTGAATTCAAATAAACATTGCGGAAAATATTAGGATTTGTCATTCACATCCAGCAACTTAACCATAAAAACAACAACAACAACAAAAAACACTAAATTGCTTCAGTTTAAAATGTTGACTCTGTTCATGAATTAGTTTGACTAGAATTACAGGTAGATTCATAGAGTATATGCCCGGGCCAGTTTACACAAATCGGTCGTGATGTCGACTTGTAGCACAGGTGACCCTCTTGCTAACATGTCGAGTGACATCATTAATCACACATGAATTGAGTTATGCAGCAACCGAAAAGGTACCTGCAAAATTCCCACTCTAATTTTACTTCCCCTAAACTAAATGGCATGCCTCGCAAATCGACAACTGCTACGAAAATCTAGAGCCCTTATTCTTGTAATTGTTCCAAATTATTGGAAGTGATTTAACTTCTAACTAGCCCTCTGCTAATTAATTACTGATGTGAACAGTGAAGGAAGTGACATAGGCAAGAAAGAAATTTCGTTGTTTGAAGAAGTCTTCATCGGGATGAAACTACTTCGTAAACGCTCTTCTAATAACTGAACCCTCGTTTCGCAAACAAACACATACTTCCACATTTAAAGCATAGGAGAAACTGCGTGCGATTCTAAGACATCGACCACTGTCGTTCGGGCACATCTGCATTTAAAGAATTTATCATGAGAATTGAGATGTTTTTTTTTTTTTTTTTTTTTTTTGTATTTACACGCTGTATTTTTGAATGGGGAAAATGTTTCGCTTCAGATTTAGTACTAATCTTGTTCTTTTTAAATGCAGTAATTTAGACCTCGGTGGCCATTTTGCTCTGTGACTCAACGTTAAAAAAATAAAAGGTTATACCTCAGAGGTTGGTGAAACCATTGCAGTATTCTTATCAGTCGCTGGAAGGAAGAGTGTTCAGTTGCACTGGCAGACCAGATATCGACTCTAGAGCACTTCCTTGCAGTCAGTACCCATCGAAAACTGTTGAGGGGCGTCTTAAGAGCCGGCTCCTTGGAAAGCCTTTTTGTTGGTGGCTATAGAGACGGTGTCCGGAAGATTTACGGGCGCCCTTTTCGCTTGTTCCAAACTTATCGTTCTGAAATGAACTCCGTATGGAGTTTCGCGAAAAGGATTTAAACAACATGTGTGAACCATCTGCGTCGCTTGCTTAACGCTTGCTTAACTTCCTGCTCACAATTGTCCGTAGAACACGCTAAGGGGGCCCCAGTACAAAAGAAAGCTTCATAACCGTCCTTCCATCAAACTCCAATTAAAAAAAAAAATCTACCGAGGGGCATGGGAGGCCGTGTTAAATTTTGTTGTTCTGGCACGCTTTTGCACACCGATCTCCCAAACGGGAACTTTATGGCATCCTTGTTTCCTTGTTGAGGAAAAGAGAACGAGAGGGCCATAACGCCGGAGGCCCTTCGGAGTGTTTCTTCTGCTTTCTGCCTAAACTTTCTTAAAAAATAAAAAAAAAGACTAACATTTTTAAATTTTCAGGGGCCAGCATAGGGTCCCATGACAGCCTGGGGCCCAGGGCTGCAGCCCCCTTAGCCCGTACCTAAATCCGGCCCTGCCTACAGACGGCGGTTTAGTCGCACACGCCGCAAATTAGTCGATTGGTTTGCGCAGAACTCGCCTACGGGAACTGAAACAAATTGGTACGTTGAAGCATCTTCAGTAATTTGCAATGTTCAGGGTTCTTGGATGTGACAACCCTAGCGTTGAAGAAGTAAAATTTAAAACACCCACTTACACTTTAGTTTTTCGAGTTTCTTAAAACCCTACATAAAAACAATATTTTTTTTATTTTTTACGAATAGGTCGTGTTTTTTAAAGCTTTCGTTTCCTGATTACTAAAACATTTGCCAAACTTTTAAGCCCCTCTATTTTGTTAGACGTCATTTGCCTAGTCCGTGGTACGTTGTGCAAGGCATTTTAGAGCGCCACAGCTATCAATGAGCGAAGCGGCTCGTCTTTTGTCGAGCCAAACAAAAAGGCACTAAGCGTTCGAAGCAGACTGCGTGAACAAAGAACCCGCCAAAATATGAAGTAACACAACAAAAGTTACCGCGGCGCTTAAGAGAAAAAAAAAAAACGCATCGACGACAAGGCAGGTCGCGCACTACAGGAACGTGCACTAAGGAAGCCCGCGTTGCCCGCAAGCCGATCCGCAAGACCAGCACCGAGGTCGCATGCTGCTCACTTCACTGCAACACACCAAGGAGTAATCACCGACAGCTCGAAGAGGTCAGGACAAGGTCAGGGAGGATGGAATTCACAGGGAAGACTAGCAAAGGAGGCAAAAAAAACTATAGGGTCGGCCACAGCAAAGACGCCGCTAGTGGGATGCTTGCTCGCACAGTCCCATGTCTCGCTCCGTTTTTGTGTTGCTTTAGAGTAAACTTCACTTACAGACCGCGGCGACCGTGCCACATTCGAGGTGCCGATATGATCCTGAAAACATTTGAAACAACAGCCACTTTTAACGAGACACCGGACACATGCGGGAACTGCGACGGACCAAGGAGGCTCCTGCAGTCGCGGCGGATATCCGAGGCTTCGTGTCACTTTTACGCTGACGGCGTGACGTGGCGGTTAAAACGGGACGAGCAGATACTTGCAAAACAGAGGAACAATAATGACAGACCCATATGTACGCATACATTCGAGCTGTGAACGGATACAGTATCATCACAATATGACAAAAGCGTGGTTCAAACAAAAATGTTTCTTCTCTCGCTCTGACGACAACGTGACGCGTCATTCAGGACATGAACGAACGGAACATAAAGGGAAAAAGGCAATCATTAAAAAAAGTATATATATATATAATTGTGTATCGTCGTCGAAATGCTTGCTCGAAACGAAGCATGCCACTATAGCCGAACGTGTAGAGACGGTGCGTTTGGATGCTAAGCATTGGCCTCTTTCTGGCTGCGGTGTGCACTTCTTACCATGTGCCGCCAGGTGATGACGGAGTCTGGCTTTCCGGAGGCCGTGCAGCCGATCTCGAAAGGCTCCCCTTTCATTACTTTCACTTCGCCACTTTCGGGGTGCGTCTTCAACTTGGGGGGTCCTGCCAAAAAAAAAAAAGAGACGCCCGGGAAGGAAACACCCGCGATGAGCGATCAGAACGCGCGAGCAACGACACAAGAGGAGAAAAGTCACGAAGCCGAACTTCATTTGACGTTTCGTGACATGACCCCCCCCCCCCCCCCCTCCCCCTTTCCCCTAAACTTCCACCCGCTACTTTGTCATTCCATTCGCTGTTTCCCGAGGCAGTGCTTTTGAGGGACAGAAGTGCTCACTCATGGCGTTATTACGATGAGGATAATAAGTAAAGGAATTCACGATCTATTGAGAGACCCTGCTTGTCCACGCATCAAATAATAGTATTAATAATAGTATTATTTTTATTATTATTATTGTTAGTAGTAGTAGTAGTATTATTAATATTCCTATAAACAAATGCGAGTGCTTCGAGTTCCGCAATGTTCCATAGCGGGACCGTCAAAGACCCAAACCCTTGTAGGGCTCATCTCCAAAATACTGTAATAAAAAACAGCATAATAAGAAAAAGCCATAAAAAATTCGTAAAAGCGACAAAGAGAAAAAAATCTGGATCACACGCACGTAATTAGTAGAAAAAGCGTCTTCGCGGTTAAAGTTAAGGCCGGTTCACACATTCATCGCAACGCTAAATCAACACGAGGAACACCGCTGATAGAGCGCTGACTTGAACGTAAAGTAGCCCTGGTGCCGCACAATATCAGCGCTGTATCACCAATACAGCTTGAAGTTCGCGCTGCATAAGCAGTCAGTGGTATTTTAAGCGCTGACTAATAGCGCTGAGGTAGCGCTCTGGTGTATGCGTGAACAGGCCTTTATCATCCCATAACCATAAGCATACTCCCATGGTGCGATTTTGCTTGCGATTTCGCAGTTGTGACTTACACCACCGCAACTTCTGCCAGGTTTTTTTTGTTATTTATTTTTTTATATTTCTCAAGTAGTGATACTGTTCAGCACAGGGGAGAGGTTGTTAAATGTGTGTGGAGCATGGGGATAAAGAGGAGAGCATTTCCAAAATGTGTGTTCATGCGCTGCGTTGCATATGGGGCCAGTTTCCGAAGGTTCTGAAAAACCACGACGGGAATCTTAAAGGTTAAATAAAGCTGGAGCATAACCGTATGCATAAATAAGGCCCGGAAAAGTGGTAAAGAGAGATCCTCGAAGGTGCTGCCGGATGTTTTAATTCTGAAACCATATGCCACGGTAAGCATGATGCCCTTCAGTAGAGAAATTACTTATGACGTATGTCGAAAACCAATTCATAATCTGAATTGAATCGAACTGCAGTAATTCTACTGCCTTATCATATAAGAAATGACTCAGTAATAGAACGGTATCATCTGCGTATTAAAATATCCTACAGTATTTCACCACCCGGGACAACTCATTAACTTAGGTATTTTGGAAAGAGGTGACAGCACGTATCCTCAAAAAACGCCAGTAAAAAAAAAAAAAAAAAAAGAGTTAGCATTGCGGGAATTAAAACTAGATTCGTACGGTTTGACAGAAGGTTTTCAAGCAGGGTTTAAAGGGGACACCTGAAGTTTAAGCTGAAGAGTTTCCTCAAAATAACCTTATGCGACAGATTCCAAGGTTTTAGAAACATACCGAGGAAAAGCGCACACGTAACAACATTTTTCTTAAATACAGTGTTCAGCAAATCTGAAACATCCTCAAGTAGAAATTGAGGGTCGTTTCCCAGTAAAAAAAATGCTGTTATGGAGAAAAAAAGTTACATTTATTCATGAGGGCAGTCACAAAATATTCGCTATTGAAGGCAAGATCGAGATAAAACGATAGCTTTCGAGCTTCTCGCCCCGCCCTTTCGTTTCGCGGCTGATTATTGCGCACCCATTAGTTTCCATCAAAGCGTTGCATGAATGCCCACCTGGGAGGACGAGCTTGTGCTGTATGGAGTTGGGCTCGATCTGGCTGTTGACCTTGCAGGTGTAGACGCCGTCGTCGCCCGACACGAGGCCTTCGATCTTGAGCTCGTCGTCGGGCCCCAGCGACATCCGAGGGTCCGGGTGCACGCGGAAGGAGCCGGCGAACAGGATGTCTTTGTTCTTGATCCACACCTTGATGAACTCATCGTCGCCTGCAAGAGGTGCAGGTGCCTCAGTTCACTCAACAGGGATCGACCGGGTGACGCAGCAGCCTATCCGGAGCGAAAGTGAGGACGAGGAGGAAATGAGAGCGCGCGATGACGTCAGGGCATCGGGCTATGATTGCGAGAATAGCGGGTAGACGCAAAGGCCAGCTGCTTACGCCTCTACCCACAGTCTCCCTCCAATCAGAACAAAACAGAGAGTCGTCTGCATGTTCCTCGCGCAGGGTCTGGCGTTCGGCGTTTGAACGCCAGACGTTCTGCGAGGAGCAGACAACAGTCTTGCATGCTCTGATTGGTGTAAGATAGTGGGTATAGACAAAGGCAGCTAGCATTTGCGTTTATCTACTAATCCTTCCAATCAGAGCTTGACGCTCTGACGTCACCGCACGCTCACAGCTTCTTCAGTTTCTTTCCGTATATGCAGAAATGGGAAGGAAAGTCTCTTCCCTGTTGAGAGCTCGGGTGCAGATGTCCCCTGATAACTCTCGCTGGAACTAGTTTAAACAAAAGTACGTGACATTCGCATATACTATAATCATTGCCGTGTGACGAGGCCATCAAAAAGTAAGGTTGATGAAAGGAGGACGATCAAATGCCCTACCGGTCAACCCATTTCAATGTGCGTAATCATGCGTTCGTTTGCAATCGTCAATGCTGAGACTGATTTGTATCCAGACAATGTGGCTCGTGCTTCAACTATTTTTAAAACGACACTTTGCATAGATTTCGTCCTCGTTGGTTGTCGTCACCGCGCGCGCGCGAAGAATGGAAAAACTTTTTTTATATCCCCTCTTCGCGTTAGGAGAGGGAAGTTAGGACTTCTCGTCGGCCTTGCCGCGCGAAGGGGGCGAAGAGGGCAGCTCTGGCGTCCCACGAAGATTGACGCGACGAAGGGAGAATCTTCGTGTCGTCTGTTGGAAAGACTTGTTTTCAAACATTTCTGCGTTGTAGAAAAACCCACTTTGGCGGTATCCTGTTGATACGCGTAATGGTGGATGGTTTTTGAAACTTCCACCGCGCTTGCCCACTTACTTCACGAATCACCCCGCACTGCTGGCGGTCGTCATTGGCATCCACGACGCCAACCACGACGGCTATGAGGATTAACCACGTCGGACATCAGTGCTCAGGTACGTGACGGCACCATTTTACCCGCGTTGCGAGACCGTGCTATAACTATCACTTCCGTCTCTTCGCGCATTGTTGGCGAAAATTACAACTTTTAGAGCGCAGCTCTTAGGGGTCCCTTTCCGGCTTGAGCGGCGTCGCCGTCGGCGTAACCGCGATGTCACGTAACCCCCCCCAAGGTCACGTGACAACTCCCCCCCCTAAGGTCAGGTGACCCCCTGAGGTCACATGACTCCCTGAAGTCATGTGACCCCCCTCCGCCGAGGTCACACGACCCCCCCCCCCCCCCTGAGGTCACGTGACCTCAAGGAGTCGCCTATCCCTCAGTACGCTTCCATCCTCCTCCTCAAGAGCTGCGCTCCAACCGGCGTTACAAGGAATTGTAAATGGCTTTAATTTTTTGTTTAGTTTCTTTAGTTATGTATAAGCGAAATTCCTGCTTATAGGTTGCCCCTACAACGTTCCGTTGGAGAAAAAGTTGTGTTCGCTCGTTCACGCAGAAAGAACGGTGTTCGGATAGCACTGTTTGACATCTGCAGTTTAGAAGAGGCTGCTGCGAGAAGCTACTGCGTTGTATGCCAAGTTTCATCGGATAAACCACCAATGGAAGGGTATACCAACTATTGTTTGTTGCAGGTTAAGAAACGAAGGACTATTTCTCCCACAAAGCGCAGGAAGCGAGTGAAAAGGAGGAAAAAAACAATCATGGTCAGCAGAGAGCAGCAACAGACTACAGCAGGTCATTCCGGTCCTGAGAACTCAGCCAGCTATACGAGACAGTTGAAGCATGTCACACTCACCTGTTTGGACGATTTTGCATGGCAATAGTACCGTATCCCCGAGATTGAAGAAGAACGTGTCATCTTTCGTCAGGAACTCGACTTTCTTGTCTGTGGGAACTTCCATCTCTTCCTCGGCTGAAATGAGAAAAAAGAAAATAGCGCGTAAAAGAGGAGTCAGCCATAAATTATACGCATGTCAACGACTTCGGAAAGTGTCGTGTGATTTCGGTTTTCACGATCATTCAGACAAGCAGCGTTCCAAATTTTCTAAAATAAAAAATAAATAAATAATGAGTAGGTCCAGAAATATTCTCGTTATCTCTCACTTATTGAAAAAAAAAAAAGAGACGTGCATAACAGAATCCTAACATGTAGAGTTCCTCAGCGCTCTGACCTCCGCTTCCTTATTTAGGCGCAGGTCGATGATCCCTATTGTCGATGGCCTCATATTCCAGCCAATTTCTTGTCAGAACTGTACAATCTGCGGATCCGCATAATATTAAAAAAAAAAGCGAGACTATTTGTAAGATTTGCCAGATTGAAGACAAGCACTCAGCTTAAAAGGAGGTGGTGTTTATTAATTTTATTTTAGAGCGCAGCTCTTAGGGGCCCATTTCCAGCCTGAGCGGCGTCGGCGTCGCCGTTGGCGTAACCGCGCCCCTCCCTCTCCTCCTCCTCCCCTCTTCCTCCTCCCCCTCCTCCTCCCCCTCCTCCTCCCCGTCCTCCTCCTCCCCCTCCTTCTCCTCCTCCCCTCATTGTGTAGTATGGTCCGGGCGGGTCACGTGACCTCGGGGGGAGGGGGTCACATGACCCGTTTCCAGCCTGCGGCGTCAACGTCGGCGTCGCCCCTCCTCCTCCTCCCCCTCCGCTCCTCCTCCTCCCCCTCCTCCCCCGCCAAGGTCACGTGACCCCGGGGGTGACTCCCCTCCCCCCGCCGAAGTCACGTGACGGCCCGCCCAAGGTCATATGATCCCGTCCCCTCGAGGTCACGTGACCCCCCGGACCTCTGCCCTCCTCCTCCTCCCCTCATTGTCTAGTATGGTCCGGGGGGGTCACGTGACCTCGGGAAGAGGGGTAAAGGAGAGGGAGGGGGAGCAGGAGGGGAGGAGGACTAGCAGGCATGATCACGAGGGAGGAGGAGGAATATACCCTCCACTCCTCCTCCTCAAGAGCTGCGCTCCAATTCGGCGTTACAGGAAGTTGTAAACGGCTTTCACTTTTTTTTTGTAGCCTCTTAAGTTACATTTCAAGTGATCACAGATCGTAGCAAAGATACGGTGTCCGCTACAGACAGAGTGACAGAAGATACGGGTTGCACTGACGTCACACCGCATACTTTCGACCACCATGTAAGAGGAGGAGAGCGAAGCTGCTTTTGTAAGAAGTTTGAGTGACAGGCTAATCTTTTATAACCTTTTGGGAGGAGAATAGCGACGTCTGTGCAAATCCGGGAGGCACAAAAGAGGATCCTGATAAGAGGAGAGCTCCTTCTTCTCCTGTATGGAGGTCATCGGATCGCTCTTTGAATGACGTCACATGCAACCCATGTAACTGCGGACACTAGTAAGGAATGTAAGAAGGACGTTTGCTTTATACACGCTTCCAACATGCCTGCAGACAGTCGTATGCGAGGAAGAGACGCGCCTAAGGCAGTGACTCTCTTTCGTACGACGTATCAACAGCGTGACCGAGACTTTGGTCGCTTTGTTAAAAAACTGGGTTGTGTGTATGTTTATACAGCCTAGAAGTTGGTGTGCCTCAACGGGCGACGAGTCTCCCAGCTGTAGATGAGAAATTCAGCCAGTGCAGTACAACCGCTTGCCTGGGGTCTTTAACGTGCATCACGCAACAGTGATACACGACCGCACGCCTGTACGATGCTCATCCAGATCGAAACAGGCAGGGTGGGGCTCGAACCCAGGTTACCTGGGTTCTGTAGCGCGAGCTTTCGCTCCACGTGCTCTGAGCTGGTGTGCGCTAACATACAGCGGATTACGTAAACTTCCAGGCGGTTGCGCATTTTGAGAGACAAAAGGAACACGCTTTTCTTCCTGCCCCGAGCGAACATATAATTGGTGAGCACATCGCATAAAAGTTCACTTAAACGTTACCGCTATTAGTCAAGAGACTGATTTTCTATTTCTTTTTTTCAGCGTCGTTTTTGTTTTCAAAATGAGGCACAGGACGGCGATCAAGGTCTGCAGTGTCTCCGCGTATAATTCATCTCCCCGATGGTCGACCAGGCAAAAATGGCCCCGCCCGCGTTATAGACGGCTCGTGTGCATGAGCCCATTACGCGGAAACGTGTCCTTGGGCTCATCCAATATTCATTCGCCGGGCGCTGTCAGAAAGGCCCAAGTCCCGGCCATCCGGTCATTTTGGACGTCTGGGTTATGACGACAGCGCCGTGCGCGAGGCGGCGTTATTTCCCCGCTATCGGCGTCCCTCGCGCTCACGGGATAACGAGTGACATTTCGAGAAGGTTCCGTCTCGTACATGAATACGATCGAAGTTGTCTCACCCCCAACGAGAACGTCCCAAAACAATATCGACGGAATTTCGTCTAAAAACAAGAAAGGATGTCAAAGTACACCTTAAAGTAACTAGATATTCCAGAAAAATGCACTGCGTTCCTCTCTATTACCGTGGTTTCATAAAGTGATTTTTTTTAATATTTTTGGGGGGTTTTTTGCGAATTTTACGGGAAAAAAAGAGTCGGCCGACAAACTGGCGCGGTAGGTACAATCTACGAACCCTTTTTACAAGAGACTCAGCAGCGACGACGTCTCACGCTTAAACAGAGCATACAATAAGTTCCATCCTGACGCCAACGGCAATTGTTAATCAACTCAGACTGTAGCGCGCGCCACGCACTCGCCCAAACTACTCATTCGTATGTATACACCGCGCCCTCCGATGAAGTCGGGAGCAGAGCTAGCGTGCGTGTTGCCCTAGCAAGTATAGTACAGAGAGAGAGAGAGAGAGAGACCATACACGCCGTTCGGCATCCCCCCTCAAACCGGGGCGATAGATAACATGGACCCCACAGATGCCTATCTCGACAAGCAACCAGCTAATGTGCATGTTCCTACGGTCTTCCTTCCCGCTGGGATCTCGCCCCTCCCGCGCGATTTCTTCCATTCGGAGATATTACCATCTCCTGCGGTGAATCATGCGCCGGTCGAAGGAGAGCGGAACGTTGGTAGAACACCGACGGAACGATGCTCCTGTGAAGTCCAGATGGTGTCTTTCCCTCCACGCCGCCATCCGTAGAACTGTCTTCGAACAAGCGATGCGTCCTGCCTTCCCATTTTTTTCTCTTTTCTTCTTTTTTTTTTCTCGTTTTCGCCGCGTTTGTTTTAGTTCCTTGAGAACAAGATAGCGCAGGAAGTAAGGGAGCGCGCGAGAGGTGCACACTTTCCATTTCAAATCTGCGCAACTCTCGAACTTGATATTGTCTCCTGCTGCTGGCATATCTACTCCGCAATCTTAACATTTCACATTTGGGCGTTCGAATGTTCTCACATAATCGGAGAGGAGAACGGAAGCAAGCAGCGAGCAGCCACGAAGTCCCAGCAACCAAAACGTTCTATGTCGCATTTTCTTTTCAGTGAGTGCGCTGAATGTTGAATACTGATGTGGACGTCGCGTAAGAAGCGTCGTTGTCCCGTTAACTGTTAGCTGAGCGTTATTGTAAACTGGTATCCAGGATGTTGTTCGCGGAGTCAGCGCGTTAATGCCAGGGTGCATTTGGCTCTAGAAGAAGCCACCATAACCTATGCCCAGACTTCGCACCTTCTTCCGGTGGGTAAGCTTTTCCAGCCACTTCAAAGGTGTACGCAAGAAGATGTATAGCGGGAACACGCAGATGTGTATCTTGAAATTAATACCTTATCATACATCAGACATTTATAGCCCTGCTTGCCGTAAATACGTATGCGTATTTATTTTGCATTAGAAAAGAGTTGTTTCCAACGAAATTTGCGCTATGTGCATAATTACTATTCGACCTTTCCCGTATTATTACTCTCAAAATGATGCGTTCTCATGCAGTGTTTGACATTTAAGGTTTACAAATGAACAACGTGCACATAACCATTTTATTGGCGAAATCGCGGTGAGTAGGCCAATCGCAATATAGATGTTCGTCATATTATAGAGATTAAACGATGGTCAAATATTAACGCAGTAGAATAATAAAAGACGCTAAATATATTACTCCAAACGTTCTTCAGAGAGGGCCCGCGCGCAGACAAACATATACTGCACAACGAAACAAAAGGACGGGGTAAACAAAGCGGGCGCATTGAGAACGAATTGTACTTTAGTCACCATGTTCAAATGCACATAATTAACAACCCAAGTGGCAAGAAAAGCTGAATTCAGACGAGTTGTGCGTGCCTAGACTTACGAGTTCTAGTAAATTAGCGCATACAACACACACAAACCCCCCCCCCCCCCTTTTTTTTCCAGCCAAAAATTCAGAATTACGACTATGCACAACCTTGCTAGATGTACCAGCGAGTGAGATAAGATGATTCCTCTGATCTTGGCTGAACCGTAAACGTTTCTGTTCATTGCTCAAGCAGAACGGCCGTTTAAATTCGCACTCACGCCTTGAGAAGAAAAACAAAAACGGTATAGAAAGATGTTCTTTAAGGCGTGACACCCCAAGGAAGACAAAAAGGAAAGTAGCGGAGCATGATCTCCTACGCTTCCACGGAAGAAATGATGGTGAAATTCTTTTTAAAAAAAAATACTACAAAATGTCCTTATAAATGCTCTCGCAAAACAGATATGGACGTATATAAAAAAAAAAAAATTAAATAAACGTAGCGTCCAAACAGAGGGGAATGCTCGAAGTAGAAACTTACAAATCAGCAACACAAAATGCGTTGGCAAGATCCCGCTATGGAACTCAGAGGAAACAAGAACCCGAACCCCCCCCCCCCCCCCCCCCCCCTTCTCGTATAGAAAAATAAAAATACGTACGCGCTTACCAAAATAAAGTAAAGAACTATCCAGGAGCAGACACTGTGACATAGATGTACGCACACCCTCACACACACACTAATAAAACCACGACAGGAGAGAGTGAGCTCCCTTCCGGAGGAGAGCGAGAGAGAGGGCAAGGA